AAATGCGCGAACCCTTGGAACGAAACAAGCCGAGACAAATACCAGCTGGCGGTGTAGGACAGTCGATTGGAATAGCATGCAACTCTAAAAATAACCCTTTTCATTCGTTAGATGACGACCGTTTGCAAATTTACGGTACATATATTTCTCTGCATCAGCAACGCAGGAAGGTCTCTATAAGTTTGGAACAAACTGGTCTTTAGAGGTGGGTTGCGCTCCTTTTGTACACTTGTTTGCAGTGCCAAACACAATCTTGTGGAACGTGCCCAGAACAATACTTTACTTAATTCAGCAGGGTGGCGCAATCGTTTGTCCGATAGAAATCGGACAAGTTAATGTAGACCGGTCGATAAAATTCATTAACTGTGAGTCTGCACCCATTCGGATTTCACGATCATATGAAAATTCTACTAGACCTCAGCCCATCCAAGATAAAAGCTCATGTTTTGAAGGGGATGACTGTGCCGGAAACGAGCCACTAGTCTGCACCCATTCGCATTTCACGATCATATGAAAAGTCTACTAGACCCCAGCCCATCCAACATAAAAGCTCATGTTTTGAAGGGAATGACTGTGCCGGAAACGAGCCACTCTAAATAATCGAACATCTTGTCGACTAAAAGTATATTATGTGGGCAAGCTACGGACTACACGAGGGCATGTCTTGATTGGCCAGAGTGTGATCCAATCAGGATCGAGCAGTTTTAGCTCGGTGCTTCTCGACTCGCATGACCTAGCATGACCCTATGGAAAATCCCATGATAACTCTATGGATACGCCTGCGCCAACTGTCCTGTCTTCACAAAAGGCTGTCTGATGCTACTGTGCATTTTGACACAACAACGGAAAGCCAAGGATCCACATGGGAGTTGCAGTGCAGTTCGCAAGTCGCAACGACCGTTCCACGTTGACTAACGACTACACAGTGACTAGAGAGATGCACCTAGACGAGTGTCTAGATCACTGAAAAGAATATTTCCAACATCGATTTAGTTGCTCTCGGTCACTTTGTCGATGTCATCCACTCGTCCGCTAATTTTGAGCCCTGGTGTGTGATGTTAGATCCCCTCTCATTTTATGAAACACCAATATGCCTTTCTGTCTTCGAACACCACGGGACTGCTGGAACAGATGCGCCTCCCCCGAAGTTGTTTCTTTGTTCCGCTCTGACTGGGTTGTTTTCCTCTGTTGTTTGGGAACAAGAACCTGTTCCAGAGAGTTGATACCGATCGTTGGTCATACCACGTGTTTAAAAAATAGCACATCAACCCACTGCTCCAACCAGAAAGTTATAAGTCACACGCCTGTCGTAACTGGTTCCCCTTATGCAGCAACGCCCATCTTCGGCCCGTAAGCCTCACGTCCGAGAGTACCAAGCGGGAGTTCGATCTGGAAGAGTGTGCATCGATCACATCTTTAAATTATATCAGTTTCTTAGACAATGTCACTTATACCGCCAACCAACAGTCGCAGGCTTCCTCGACTTTAAGAGAGCTTTCGACTATTTTAATATTGTCTCTTGAATACTCTTGACCAGACGTTCTTCATGCTCTCTGCTCTCATACCTCCAGTTAGATTACAGTGTACAATGAACTATCCACAACTAACGGCGTTCATCCCCTCTCTTTTTGTTCAATTTTGCCTCCGATATCATCATGGAATACACACTTTATGGTGAAGTGAAGTTAGGTGTCAAAATCACGTCTGGAGAGAGAGATGGATGGGATTATGTGGACGACGTAGTTTTGTTGTTTGGAACAGAATATCGGAGATGACGCTCCCATGTTTTGGCATGCGTTCTGCACCTCCAAAGTACAGACTCTTGTTTCAAAATTTCCCATCCATTTGTGCTTCTCTGAAGCCTCAGAGGTTGGGTTTGTTGAACGGTTTACATATCGTGGCAGATGCCGTAACAGGTGAATTCAGTGCGCGGACAATCAAGGCGTCAGCAGCGTTCACTAACTCATGTCATTTATGGCATCAGAACTGCTATTCGCTGAAGCTAAAGAGCCGTGTAAACAAGGCAACTGTAGATGTCTCACTCTATGGTTGTTAGGCTTAGCCCCTTCGACCCTAGGCAATTCAGGGTGTCTGATATGCGGTGTCTCTGTAGCGTAGTAACAGTAAGCTGGCTGCAGTGAATTCTCGACGAGGTGGTGTGATTCGTTAGAGCAGTAGATCAAATCTACCTGGTTCAGGTGGTTAGGGCGTGTGTTACGTACGCTCAACCACCGTTCATCCGGGGGAGCGTTATTTTCTATTCCGAGTATTGTTCACGAAAGGTCCTCTGGAGACAGGCAATGTAAAATGAAAGCGGCTACGGTCCAGCTGAGTGTTGTGGGATCTTCGCGCCTTCCTGGCCGAGGCACAGATGATCTTGGTTGTAGGTGGTCAGAAACTCTACAGGAAATGGCATGCACTCGATCCTGGTGGCAGACGTGACAAGTTAAAGTTAGACTGGCGTTGTGTGATGTACACTGAACGAAAGCAGTGAGGATTTCTGAGGTACCTTGCCCGTGTAGAGCTTATACTACTGATGGGAGAGGCATGCGAGTAGTATGTTTTCTTCATGTAAATTCGCTTGAAAAGGGAGATCTGTTGTGGATTTGCGGACTCGCTTTGTAGCATTTGCTTGGACTTGAGCAACCCTCAATGAATATTCAGGAAAGTTCAGGAAGGCGCGTTCAAGAGAAGATGAATGTTCAGTATTTTTGTAAACAAGATACATATGAGAGTTTTGCTTTACTGTCCAAAAGTCTGTAACTGGTCAGTTGGCATTTGCTAATAAATAACTGCGGAGCGGTTTTCTTCCTTTCCGGACCCCGCAGCGAAGGCCTCCTTCTTTCCAGGGGTATCGGTCTTTGCCTCTGGATCAATAGGTAAAACGTCAGTCCCCCCCCATGTCACATTGGCAAGCGTCCCATGTCAATACCGCTGGTTTCTTTGAAAATTAATTATTCAATCCAATGGTCATTGAGTTGCCACGTGAAACCCCCAGACTGATCTACCCCCCCCCCCCCGGCTATGGGGTTTCACACCCAGAAGGTCCTTTGAGTGACTCCCGTTTGGGGGAACACTATAACTCCTATAGCACGATAGTTTGTTAAACAGCGTGGTACCAAATTCGGAACAGATTTAGTGCCGAAAAAGAGGTATAAGTGTCGGATGAACCATTCTGTCCGAAACGTGTTAAACCAGCCAACCGGTCATAGTTATTTGTCCATGAAACCAACTGATCCCTGAACGAGACACATTAGAGCAGCCAAATAGCCTGCCCGAGCAATATGTGATGGTCAACAGTGTGGCCGATAACGCGTTCAAAGCGACATTACAAACCACACCTTTGCCCTTTCTATAGGATGAGTGTTCGGTGAGCTTGGCAATTTTGTTGCAAAAATGAGGACGATGTCATCGGCGGTCATCACCAGCAACAATCTGAACACAGGGGTTTTGAAAACTTTGCCATTTCATCAATGACGAAGTTGAACAAGGGTGGAGGGAGCGGCGGATCAGCGGTGCGAACAACTCGCCCTCAGACAGGACATCCCTCAATCACAGAATGCGCATCACGTGGTTCCTCGAGTGACAACTTCTCAAGAGGAAGTTTCACTCGTCTTGTGAAGGTATTCTTCCTCTGAGCATCTCATTGGCCGACCGTATCTTTTATTTTATTCCTTACTCTTCCTTATTCTCACTATTGGCTCGTCAACCTGCAGCACGACCTCCAATCTATCAGCATCGGTTTGTGGTGATAAGTAATCTAAGTCAGGCTGCAATCGAATGTAAGAGTACTGGTCCTACCAACTTATACAGATGCCGCTCCCTCTAGAGGAACCTTTCACAGCAAGCCCCTTCCCGGAAAAGAATTCATCTGGTCATCCCCTTCAGTTAGTCACTAAAAAGGAAGACAACTGGTCTGTCATATCACCGGCGTGGGGAGTTTTTCATCCTAGCTTTGCGTATTGATTACGTATACCACGTGACAACTGGTGGCCACAACGAATAAGTAGTACTTTTACCCAGGAGGTGGCAGCAGCACATTCAGTTGTAGAATATCATAAACGAGAGATTCAGTTGTCTCTCATGAAAACCAACTTGATTTGCAAATGAGGGTATTTCTCGAGAACAGTCCATTCAAGTAGAACATAAGGTTGACGGAAACCTGGGGATTGCGCATACCTGATGAGCCCCAAGAAGGGCGAAACTGGTCGTGGGCTGTCGAAGAGTTTTCAGCAACCTTGTGCGTAGTTTCCTTTATGAAAATAGTACTTTTATCGGTTATCATCATCGTAATTTTCAGTTATAAAACCCGTGCACATGTTGTACAGTGGTTATAGCTGCCAGTATTTCGTTCACCGATGATCTTGGAATGAGGGCTAGGTGGCTACGCGGTAACTGGTGCGTGAATACAGAGGCGTCAGGGCACTTTTCATTGGGGATGCCGGAAAGGTAAGTTATGCACTGATGGTAACAGCTTGGATGCACGAGTGCCATTGACTTGGCCTTGTCTGATAAGCCCTGTAACCACTGATGTGTTACGTCTCGGTGTCCCCAACGATGGAGACGGCAATGACCAGCTCAGCTGATGATTCTACCAAGTCATCGCTCGACCTTACCAGGCTCGTTTCCAGTGCAACCTGTGGACTACGATTGGTGTGTTCTATCATGGGCGAGTTATTTCCTCCGAAAACTATTCATCGATTGGTTCGAACCCGGACACTGTTTTTTGAAGATTCAGAAGACCGGATCCTGTTCCCTGAATCCGGAAGACCAACTTCCTGGTACCTAGCCAATTGGTGAGACACACGTAGGAAACTATAGAGCAATAAACTAGTGATTTCAGCAGTCGAAGACGAGTTATTGTCGTCAAAGTTCCATTGGGAAGGCAGTATCATCGAGCGGCTAACAGTGACACTCGCCTAATTATCCACTCCTTCCTTTCATTAGGTATAACACAAACGTGCAAATAAAGTAGCGTACTCTTATAATAAAATTTTCATGGAACATGTACACATGCACACAAAATCAACTCTGAGACGTATTCAATAGGTCCGGCACAAGAAAAAAAGACGCTACCTCTCACCCTAAGGGGACGTGATAACCGATGGGGTGGGAAAATAGCCACCAAAAAAGGGGGTTGGGTACAAATTTGAGAGGGACAGAGAGATAAGGGCGGGGGGGAGAGTTGCCATCCGTGCATGCGGTCAGATTGAGTCAACGCTGTGAGCTGCACTCGTTCGCTCATCACAAGCAGTCTAAGGTGGTGCGCGGGGATTTAGGAGATAGGGGAACGGGAAGCGGGGTGGACAAATGTTCCCAGACACGGTGTGTGTGTGTGTGTGTGTGCATAAACGGTAGTAGAGTGATTCAATGAGTCGGATACTTTTGCACTTTTGGGCAACCCTATATTATATATATATAAGTATATGTATATATGTATACGGTATACATCTAGTAGCTAGGAGGAGGTACGTCGTGCTACGTACAAAGGTGCAGTATATTGCAAGAAGCATGAGAAAGACAGTCGGTCAGTGAACAGTGTGTCGTGCGGTTCTAGTCCATCCAATCACGAGCGGTTTAGAAGCAACAGAACAGAACTGGCAAGCCATTCCTGACTCAGAGTGGATTGGACGTAACGGGGGTAGACAACGTGCTGCGATGTGCGACTGAATATCGGCTAGTCTTCGGACAAGGTGCGCGCGCGTGTATAAAAAGGGTTGAAATCGGTGGGGAAATGTAATTGATGAAGGGTTTGAAATTCAAAAAGATCAATAAAGAGGCACAATCACACGCGTGCGCCCACGGCAAAATGTGACGAACTGCACACATCCCTCGAAAAGGTTGTTGTAGGGTGATGATGGTGTGCGATTATGATGGGATAGACTTAAGAGATGGTAAAAACGAAAAACAACGGGGAAGGAAGAAAAACACACGTGAAACGAATAACAATCAAACGGACCAAGCGAAATTAATCACAGATGACGAATGGTGAAAGAAAGGTGTGTGTGGGTGTGTGGCTTTGGATCTCAGGGTGAAGCTCTACATATATTGGGCTGTGATAGACAAGAGACGAAGTGTTTTCGACAAACTGTTGTTGTTTTGATTGAATCACTGAGGTTGCTGCCTGAAGGATGATGGGACTCCCCCGCGTTGTCAGTCACGTGAAACAGTAGCGAAGTCCTGATCTATACACACTGTCTGAATGCTTGACTAAACAAGATGGGAAAGGGTGGATAGTTGACCCCAGATCGTGAGGCAGAGAGGGAAGGTGTTCCACGAAAATCAGAACAGCAATCGCAATTTCTTACGTCAGGTTCTCTGTATCTGAATAATCTGTCCTGCGGAAGCATAAATTAATGAACGATAAGAGGAACATATTGGCCACAGTTGTCCCATATAGGTAGTATCAAATAGGAGAATGAGGTAGACGATGATAATAGGTTGATAGACAGAGAAAAAGAGGTTGTGACACCAAAAAAATGTGCTAGCTAAATGGCGACGGGGATGGAGTTGTGAAAATAGTGGTGATCTAACACAATCGAGCGGCGCAAACACCGAGAGAGAGAGAGATTAGGTGAGGGTATAGAACCAAAGGTGAAAGAGCCGCGATTGGGAACAATCGCGATCATCCGGGTGGAAAGACATGATGTGGCAAAAATGCGTTCACTTATCGGAAATAGGTTTGTAGGCTTCATGCATCAATGAGAAGATGTGACATTCAGATAATCGCAGAACGGTATGTTCAGGGATTAGTTTAGCAGAAACAGACTTTTATGTGGTACGAGGGCTGAAACAACTCTCTAATCACTTAAATCGGCCCATCGCGACTACATAAATAGGATGGGCTGATTAACCCTTATAGATGGAATGGATAGGAGTCAATGTAGTGTATTCACTTTGAAATGTGCGTACGCTTTCGCTTGTGCTATCACTAGTGGGTTAACGACAGCAGGGCCTTGTATAAATCGCACAACAGTCTATACATAAGTGCTTGAAATTCCACAGCTCTAATTGGCTAATGTTGTATTTGTGACCGTACCATGTTCGGCGTTATCACATCTGGTTGAAAATGATAGAAAATAAGTTTGGCCTAACGACCGACCCAAGGTGACGGAAGGGTCTCCGCTTGCACTATCGCCGTCCGGTTCAACGCCTGGACCGTCTTTGTCGCTGACCTCGGAAGGAGTGATGCTAGAGGTTGGCGCTTCTTCTCCTGTGTCGGGCACCTGTTCTGTAGAAGACGAAGATGGTGCGGTGGTTACCGAGTTCACAACACTGTCAGCAGTGAGGGCCGATTTAACAGAGTCGTTATTAGAATCCACTACAGAAGTGAAGGGGTTACCCGAAGGGACAGATGTTGAGGATGAGGCTGCTGGTGTTGGAGTTCCCATATTTGCAAGTGATATAGTTGGACAAGCAGAACTAAACGTGGGTGTGAGGATGAATGACTGAGGTGTGTTGCAGGTGCTCGAAGTAAGATTTTTCAATAGCCGCCAGGTGGATGGTGTGAGGATGGGTGAAAAGGTTTGAAGATCCGAAGGCCAGAAACCCGGAGTGGGGATTTCGATGGGAGTTCCAGAAATGGTGGTACTTGTGGTGGTGGCGGCAGTGGTGGTTGTGGAAGCTCCAGTATTGCCACCTAAAGCCTTATCCGCAGGTTGGGTCACTTCGGTTAGCAGTCTGTCTGGGATTAGGGTAGATGGTCGGGCGGCAAGCCTATACACAGTCGACGAGTTCGAAGTGCCGAAATCGTCCGCACGTGATGACGATTCACTGTTCAGCTTATTACCCAGACAGTTCGATGCCGATATGGCCGAAATAACCACATTTGGTGCACAGGTTGGTTGAGTCTGGCGACGGAGATCCAGTTTAGCAAGACTAGGTCGGATCGAAGTCAAAGTGACTTCATTGCAGTCCGGTTCGGGTTTTGTCACCAGTGTGTTCGTTACCAAAATAACACTTGGTGAAATGGGGCCAGGAGGTGTCGTGGTGGAGGACAAGTTGGGTACAAGGTCGTCCGATTTTAAATGGGTAACCGGAGTGCTGACCGATGCGACATTATCATGCATAGATAACTCCGAACGCTCCAAAGCCATGCGAGAAAGCAGTTCCTCTGCCTCGACGCATCCAGCAAGCTAGAAGGGATTAGAGAACAGGATGACATGTTGTAAGTATGCAGGAGAATCGAGAGAGGTGAAATTACACGGGAGACTTTATGCAATAACGTGTGATTATGTTTATGGCTCGATACCTAACTGACTAGTTGAGAACACCGGCGTGATAAGCAGTTTCACGTGAAAGTGAGGTTGACAAACGACCGAAAAACAAGCGTAGAAAAACAAACATACTTGTTGTGATTTCCGGACTGGAAACCCGGGTATCCTCCACAATTCCCATCTAATGTGATTGAAACTCAAGGTATTGGTCCACAACTTATCGATACCGATTTTTTCATGCATTTGCCAGACTACGTTGGTCGTACAATGAGGCACCTATCCCGAGGACCAAAGAACACTTGCCGATACAGAGGAAACCACATAGGGAACGGTGTCTTCCCCAACCACGTGTCTGAAAGACGTCAAACAAAGACGTTGCTTGCGGGATCGTGTGTCATGTACCAGAAAACCTATTGAAAATATTGAGAGAGCTGACGCTCTCCATAGCTGAAAAGACAGTAATTCGCCTGTTTGACTCGTTTCTGTGCTCAGAAAATGCATCCGGACTGCCATACCAAACAGCTGGACTAGCACAAGTACACACCAGAACTCATACTGTCGCTCTATCGAAGGCATTGGTCCAGCTCAGGCCGCATGTTCTCTTTTGACCAACTGCCATCTTGAAATAGTCCACTAACTTTTACCGCTGTCATACTTGTTATGTACGTTTTTCTATAGAGGAAAATGTCGGTAGCTCAGGTAGCGCAGATGGTTGTTGGCTTGTTCGCTGAGCTGGGCAATTTGGTTGCAAACGTTTCATCACCAATCGTGGTAACATCATCAGGGCGTTATTGGGGAAAGTAGTGGTGCGTAGCGGTGGGTTAGTGGTTGTGCTGTTACGCTGAGAAGCATCGGAAACACACACTATATTACTCATGGATATAGTTGAAAACTCAGAACTACAATGGCTGCAGTCGGTCTCTCCTTTAAGCCACGTTCTCGGTCTGATGAACCCAGAAAAGCTTGCAGAAGCTGATGATAGATGCATCACATTTTGCTTCACGACCCTCGTACAATTCAATGAAGGAAATGAAATTCTGGTTGCAAGACTTGGTTGTTGGTTATTTCCGCCAACAACTGTCAAGTATTCTTCAAAGTTAGTATTTGAGGTTTCCCAGAAAATGGTAAACCTAAGCTTTACTACTGAAGTACACCAATAATTCCCCATAGAACTGCAATCCACAGGGCTGCTTGACTTATGCTACCTGAAGTTTCAAGGGAAACAATTTTTCCTGTCGGTACCATAGAGCGAGCTGGCAGTTCACCGCGCATCCCAATCGCACAGGAAGGCCACTTTTAGGTTGACGACCTTGTATTGGCTCTGGCATTTATGCCGGTCCGTACATTCTCACCGCTGACTCAGTACTCCGCTGGTTCCATCCCAATCGGTCTGTCGATGCCACAACCATGAGACAACCTGATGTAATGTGTACTCAGTTACACCGGCGCATTGTCGTACAGGTGGATTGAGCTCGTAATGTGCGCTTGCCTGTCACGCACCCACGTACTCGAGGAGAGCGTGATGTAAATTGTTTCCCAAGTATTAGTACACGCATCAAACGCAAGTACACTGTGCAAAAATGCGACGCACCTATTGGCTGACCGGGAACCAATGAAATGCTCAGGTTTCGACAGTGCGACGGCGGGCTAGACCATCATGTGTAATAAGCAGTCCGGGATTAGGAAGTTGGAATTGCAGGTCTCCATAGTAGGTACCCATCAAATTGGTCGAACGAAGAAAAAAGTGCACTGAACTCCCGTATGGTGACCTACCACCAACCTGAAGCATTTACGACAACAGCTGTTCCACATATGCACCTTAGTCGCATTTGGGCGAAGCATTTTACTCAGCTGCGGTCAGCGAAGCAGTAGGCAACTGTTTGCGCCGTAACAGAACCCTCTGCGGTCAAGCGGGGAACAGCAACGCTGGAAAATGAGGCGATGAGGCGGTATTCAGTGCAGTCTAAAATCGAGTGGGTGTAGAATATCCCGTACGGAAACGGGAATTCGCTCTTAGCAAGTTTAACACGAATAAGGCAGTGCTGAGGGTTGACGGTTGCTGGATTCGTGGAGGGCTTTTACAGAAAGTGTGTTTGCCACCGAACCGGGATGTGTGACGGCAGGCAAACATGAACACTGATCCACAGAGCTTCGAAACTGACCGTGTTGCGGTTTTATACGTTTAGCGTTTACGTCCCGTGAAATGGATATTTTGTTGTGTCGGGGATACGGGTGTAAGGGGGGATACCGGGCCTCAGCTAACAGAAGCCAGTGAGACCGTAGCTATCCGGTCATCCACATACTTGACTGTTCAGCTACGGGTGTAAGGATACCGAGCCTCAGCTAACAGAAGCCAGTGAGACCGTAGCTATCCGGTCATCCACATACTTGACTGTTCAGCTCACATACATTCACTGGATCACGAGACTTGTCTTTTTTCATACTCACAAACACGTCACATTAAGCTGACTCATCGGACATCGATTGTATGTACCGTCTAGTGAGCGTAGCAACAACTCACGTGCTGACACACCCACGTACACACAAACGGACCTGCATATAGGGAAACCGAGCACAGTCAGCACACACAGACTCGCGCGCGGGCAGGGAGCAGGAACTCAATCACTTTCCACAAGTCCACAGGCAATTATGGGGCACGTGTGGCAGCCATACTTCAGAGAAAACGTTCCGGCCATCCGGACTTTCACCAAGGAACTCTCACGGACGATAAGTTCCACTTCTGACTTGCTCCCATTTTGCATTGTATCTATTTTTATACGTGTGGCATCTCACCATTGTCAATTATACTAAAAACTTTTATTAGTGCATATACCCTGTATTATACCTTGTATTATGGCCATCATCAACAGTGCACTAATAAGAGTTCGATCAAGGAAAACTTTGCACAGTTAACTCAACATCTAACCATTGTTGCTTTCATTACAACCCATCACTCCGGTCGTGGCGAAAAGACACGTTCTCGACAATGAACAGCCATACTGGCTGTTATTTTAGTGTTACTGTTGATATTCCGACCAACAGCGCCACCCCATGTGGTGGTCAAGCTTCAGTGTTCTAATGTTCCCGCGGAAGAAATTGGCTGGAACATCGTTCCTCAAGGTTCAACCGTGCTGTGAAGGCCGAAGAAGAGTAACCGGAAAGAGAGCAGCAAGTGCCGAACCACGAGTAATCATTTTACTAGGTAACCGGACTACCAGAAAACCTATTGAAAATATTGAGAGAGCTGACGCTCTCCATAGCTGAAAAGACAGTAATTCGCCTGTTTGACTCGTTTCTGTGCTCAGAAAATGCATCCGGACTGCCATACCAAACAGCTGGACTAGCACAAGTACACACCAGAACTCATACTGTCGCTCTATCGAAGGCATTGGTCCAGCTCAGGCCGCATGTTCTCTTTTGACCAACTGCCATCTTGAAATAGTCCACTAACTTTTACCGCTGTCATACTTGTTATGTACGTTTTTCTATAGAGGAAAATGTCGGTAGCTCAGGTAGCGCAGATGGTTGTTGGCTTGTTCGCTGAGCTGGGCAATTTGGTTGCAAACGTTTCATCACCAATCGTGGTAACATCATCAGGGCGTTATTGGGGAAAGTAGTGGTGCGTAGCGGTGGGTTAGTGGTTGTGCTGTTACGCTGAGAAGCATCGGAAACACACACTATATTACTCATGGATATAGTTGAAAACTCAGAACTACAATGGCTGCAGTCGGTCTCTCCTTTAAGCCACGTTCTCGGTCTGATGAACCCAGAAAAGCTTGCAGAAGCTGATGATAGATGCATCACATTTTGCTTCACGACCCTCGTACAATTCAATGAAGGAAATGAAATTCTGGTTGCAAGACTTGGTTGTTGGTTATTTCCGCCAACAACTGTCAAGTATTCTTCAAAGTTAGTATTTGAGGTTTCCCAGAAAATGGTAAACCTAAGCTTTACTACTGAAGTACACCAATAATTCCCCATAGAACTGCAATCCACAGGGCTGCTTGACTTATGCTACCTGAAGTTTCAAGGGAAACAATTTTTCCTGTCGGTACCATAGAGCGAGCTGGCAGTTCACCGCGCATCCCAATCGCACAGGAAGGCCACTTTTAGGTTGACGACCTTGTATTGGCTCTGGCATTTATGCCGGTCCGTACATTCTCACCGCTGACTCAGTACTCCGCTGGTTCCATCCCAATCGGTCTGTCGATGCCACAACCATGAGACAACCTGATGTAATGTGTACTCAGTTACACCGGCGCATTGTCGTACAGGTGGATTGAGCTCGTAATGTGCGCTTGCCTGTCACGCACCCACGTACTCGAGGAGAGCGTGATGTAAATTGTTTCCCAAGTATTAGTACACGCATCAAACGCAAGTACACTGTGCAAAAATGCGACGCACCTATTGGCTGACCGGGAACCAATGAAATGCTCAGGTTTCGACAGTGCGACGGCGGGCTAGACCATCATGTGTAATAAGCAGTCCGGGATTAGGAAGTTGGAATTGCAGGTCTCCATAGTAGGTACCCATCAAATTGGTCGAACGAAGAAAAAAGTGCACTGAACTCCCGTATGGTGACCTACCACCAACCTGAAGCATTTACGACAACAGCTGTTCCACATATGCACCTTAGTCGCATTTGGGCGAAGCATTTTACTCAGCTGCGGTCAGCGAAGCAGTAGGCAACTGTTTGCGCCGTAACAGAACCCTCTGCGGTCAAGCGGGGAACAGCAACGCTGGAAAATGAGGCGATGAGGCGGTATTCAGTGCAGTCTAAAATCGAGTGGGTGTAGAATATCCCGTACGGAAACGGGAATTCGCTCTTAGCAAGTTTAACACGAATAAGGCAGTGCTGAGGGTTGACGGTTGCTGGATTCGTGGAGGGCTTTTACAGAAAGTGTGTTTGCCACCGAACC